GGAAGGGGTGGCCACTGTCTCAGAAAGGGACACCTGGGCCTCACTTTAACCTGCCTCCCTGGCCCATGGAGTCTGTGCCTCCTGTCACTGCTAGCCAGAACTCCCCTCTTCCAGGAAGCCTTCCAGGTGTCCCTTGCTGGTCTCTCTAGGCCTGAGATCCCTGCAGCCACCACACACACACACACACACACACACACACACACACTTGCATGATCAGTTCCAAGAACTCCAGCCTGCACCTTTACAAGTGAATTCCCATGGGCTGACCCAGGGCAGACCATCTAGCCCCTGCCCTAGGCCATGCCATCATGCTGAGAGTCCTGGCCGGCCGGGCATCAGGCCTGGGGGAGGACTGACTTGCCCAGTGGGATTGGAACTGACACGAGACATGTGGCTGTGGGACCCTCCGTGCTCCAGCCCTGTCCCACGGGGTGCTGCCCAGGTGAGGGGTCCTAGCAGGGTCACTCGGCCAGGCTTGAGGGGGTACATGGAGTGACTGGCATCCTCTCCATGGCAGGGTGGAGGCAGCCAGCCATGTCCCTAACCAACTGGGGCTCCTCTGGGGGAGGTGGGCAGGGCCTCACTCTGGGACGGTGCAGCCAAGTCCTCAGCCCAGTCTATCTGATGGGGCCACCCTGAGAGGACAGGAACCTCTGAGAGTCCCCCCTTAAAATAGGGGCCTCAGGGCCTATGGGGGATTCTTCATGCATGTGTGTGTGAGGGCGGGGGGCAGAAGTTGCTGTGTGACTATAATCACAGGACAGGCCCTGGTGCCACTGCCGATCCCAACTCCGGCCACAGGCTCAGGTGCAACTGGGAAGTAGGGGCGGCTCTCCTACCGCAACAGGGGCACTTCCAGGGCCTGGGAAGGAGGGAGAGACCCAGGCCCTCCCAACAGTGCTTGTAGGCAGTGAGCTTCCTCCCAAGCATGCAGACATGCCGACCCAGAGGCCAAAGCCGGGAGACCCCAGCACACACTCCCCACGGTGGCGAGACCTGCATCACTGGTCCCTGACCCTGAGAAGTGTGAAGAGCGATTACTGCCCAGTGTGGGGGCTGGGCGAGGGCTGCCGTCGGGATCCTGGGCACTAGAGGGGCCAGCATCAGGGAGGGGTGCCTGTGGGAGTTAGGGAGGGATTCCTGGCCTGGGGTGGGGGCCACCTGAGCAGTCCTGAGAGAGTCAATGGTTGTTAGGAGTAAGTTAATCCCAGTAGCCAGGCCTGGTTCTAAGGCTGGGCATGGATCGACTCTTAATTTCACCACCACCTGGAGGGAAGGTCTTATCCTGAGCCCCACTTGATGGAGAAGGAAACGGATGCACCAGGAGGTTCAGTGGTTGGGGCAGCCCCCTGAGCTTCCTGAGCTGACGGCCCTGCAGGGGCCAGAACCCAGCTCCCACACCAGCTGCGGCTGAGACCCCCATGGCCGTGGCCGGCCATCCAGCTGGTGCCCTCAGGAGGCTCGAAGACAGTGGGTCAGGGAAGCGGACAGGGTGGTTTGGCTCCACGGTGAAGAGCACAGGTCCAGCCAGTTCACTTGAACCTGAGCTGCCCCTCGCTGGTGTGACCACTTCTCTGAGCCTCAGATCCTCACCTAAAAATGGGCAGACTTCCGGCCCTGACCAGATCGCCTTCCTGAGGGGCTTGACAACTCACTCCACGGCCAGGGCTTGGCTCACCGGATTGCTCACAAAGAGAAGCCGAAACGCTCTCACTGGAGAGGCCCAGAGAGGCAGGACTCACACACGGCAGATGTTCCAGATGTTCACCGGGGGACCCCTCACGGCAGGGTCTCCAGGGAGCTCGGCATGGAGGGCTAGGGAGGCCCTCAGAACTGGGGCTGGATGGCCGGGCTGCACCCTGTGTGCGAGAGCGGCTGGTGTGGCCAGTCCACAGAACGAGGGGCAGGAACCCGATTAGGGTAAGACCAGCACAAGGACTTGGGGTCACAAGTGGAAAGATGTGGTGGGCAGAGTCCCTTTTCAGCTCTTCGGGCGTTTTCGTTGTTGTTCAAAGTAAAAATGTGAGGAAAGCTCCTGTGTGTGTGTAAACTTGTTTTGTGTTGGTTGTGTGTGTGTGTGTGTGTGTGTGTGTGTGTGTGTGTGTGTGTGTGTGTTGCATTGAGTGGAGAGGGGGTGGGCAGTCAGGGACTTCCTTGTGGGTGGCGGTGGGCTGGCTGAGACGGGGAGGAGGCAGAGAGGCTGGGTCTAGACCAGTGGTTCTCAACCTTCTGGCCCTTTAAATACAGTTCCTCATGTTGTGACCCAACCATAAAATTATTTTCGTTGCTACTTCATAACTGTAATGTTGCTACTGTTATGAATCGTAATGTAAATATCTGATATGCAGGATGGTCTTCGGCGACCCCTGTGAAAGGGTCGTTCGACCGCCAAAGGGGTCGCGACCCACAGGTTGAGAACCGCTGGTCTAGACACTGGATGTGGGGCCCAGAGGAGGGACCCAGGGTCCACGGAATGTGTTTGGGGCTTGAATCAGCCTGAGTCGCCCGCCCCGCAGTCTTGTCTAGCTCAGCTGTGGTGCCGCAGAGGCCCCCACGGGGACAGTGGCCAAGCCACACCCATGGCTCCACCAGGTCTCACCTGTCAGTGTGGGAACCTGAGCGCCCAGGTCGGCGGCGGCACCTGACTGGGGTGCAGCCAGGGAGAAGCCTCAGGTGAGGCCTCTTTGATTGCCCTTGCCCCTCCCCCTACCACCTAGTGGCTCTGGGCAGGGTGTTCTCATCTGTGAAAGGCAAGTCCAGCCCACCTGCGGCCCACTTGCCTGAGGGCAGGGAGCGGCCTCCTCAGGGGCCCAGGGACAGGTGGTCTGCTCAGGAGGGGCCCTGGGCCTTCACCTGGACGGTCCAGGCTGCCCCCTCCCCCACCTGGGGTAGACCCCTCAGGGCCCCAGTCCTGGGTCCCTTTGATAACCCTTCCTTCCCTTAAGAATCCTGCTCCCAGGCTACCCTGGGCCTCTCCCTCCCACCCTCCCCGACTCACACCTCAGGGAGCTCTGGACAGCCCCTCCCCACCCAGAGCTGGGCCATGAGCCCGGGAGCCTCAGCAGGGAAGGTGGAGGCTCTGCGGTGCCACCTTCTGTCTGTCCTCCCCCCGGCCCCCTCCCCACCCTACCCCCGTGTCCCTCTGACTGTGCCAGGAGCTCCCTGAGAGCAGGAGCGAGTCTGATCGCCGAGGGGCTGGCGTGCTGTCGCCACTCACTGATGGCCGGCCGGCTCCGTGGATGCGGGCCTGGGACTTCTTGGAGCTCAGGCGCTGAGTCTGCCTCACCTGGACCCCGTGCCCGGGGCAGAGCTGTTTGTTTTGTTGAACTGATGGAGGCACCATGAAGGCACGCGTTTATTGAGCGCTTGCTGTGTACCAGCTGCTCCCCTAGCACTTGGACACTTTTAAACTCAGTGACTCCTGAAGACAGAGTCTGATGGGAATGGAGGGGACCTGGATTAACCAAGCTGGGTGCCGACGGGAGGTGCCAGCAGCCGCCACAGGGACCCCTGGCCCACAGCTCCCCAGCTAAGCTCTCAAGGTTGCCCGTAGAACCTGTCAGTGAACCAGTGGTCATTCTACCCACCTCTGGCCTAAGCAAGGACTGAATGCCTGGGCTGAGCTCTGCAAGGTGCCAGCTAATCAGTTTACCCCCAAATGTGCAAACTAGATTTACTATGCCTGACGGCACTCCCCCCCCAACCCCCCTTCTCTCTTATGTACATTGTTTTCATCTCTGTAGACCAACATCAACCCGTGGTTACATGTCCCTTGTACAGAAGTAAACAGCAAGCTAATAACCAGCAAATGTCTCTGAGTTATTCTTTGACACCTACAGCAGCCCCGGCGGGGAGGGTTCTATTATTCTCCCCGTTTTAAGGACAAGGATATGCAGGCTCAGGGAGGTTAAGTCACCTGCCCAAGGCCGCCACACAGTTGTGGAGTGAGGAGAGAGACCTGCCCCACACCCCCACCTGTTCAGACCCTGTGGCCAGATGCCCCTTCCCCTCTCAGACCCAGCCCTGAGCCAGGAAGGGTAGCAAAACCACCCTGGCACGGTCAGTGCATGAGCCATGCCACCCTGCACTCCCTGAGTTGACCCCTACTGATCCGTCCATCCCTGAGGATGGCTGGCCCTACGCCTGCTTCTCCCTCCCAGGGGCTCCACCGAGGGCCAGAGCCTGCACCCCACATGCTCAGATCACCCTCTGGGCTCCCCTTCGCCTGCAGCTGAAGGTTCCAGCTACTCGGCCTGGTGTTCGGACTCTGCGTTTGGTCCACTCCTCATGTCACACGTTCCCCTCCCGGCACAGGCCCTCTCTCGCTCTGTCCGGCCATCAGAATTGCCCTTCATCCCGACGGCCTTCACTAGCCCTTGCTGGGAACCTCTAGGCCAGCGTCACCCCATGCAGGGTCGGCTCCCTGACTGAGGGTTCAGCGCGGAGTCCCTCCACAGCCGTGTCCCTGAGGAAGGCCCTGAGCAGACGGGGTCCCAAGAGCACCACATGGCCTCCCCTGGCAGGGGGTGGCGGGAGTTCACAGTCTGTGCTCCCGAGTTTGTGAGCCACTGCACACGGGCCACAGGGACTGGTCTTGGTGTGTGGGAGCATGCGTCTACACCCACACACACACCCATGTGCCACAGGCCTGTGTGGAGGGGCCTGCGTGTGCAGCCAGCCCCGTCTGGGTGTGCGTGTGTACACCTGCGATTGGTGCTCCCGTCTGGGAATGTGTGTGTGTCCGCATCTGTGTGTGGGCCTGCGTGTGCACAGGTGTGGCCAGGGTGTCCCTCCTGCAGCGGTCCCCCTGCTGTGGTGAGGAAGGTGCCCCGTGCCTTCAGCGGGACTCCTGCCCATGCTCCAGCGCAGCCC